GAAGTAGCCTCTTTCATCTACCTACCTAGGCAGCATCATTTCAACTACACGTGACGGCACAGAGGAGGACGTCAAATTCAGGATCGGAAAGGCAGCAAGACAGGCTGTCAACAATCTGAAATGAGTGTGGAGATCTATTGCATTCAGCATATGGAACAAGATCCGGATTTTCAACACCAATGTCAAGTCAGTGCTTCTATATGGTTGAAAGATTTGGCGCGTCACGAAAAGCATTTCCAACAAACTAAAGACATTATCAATAACTGGCCCCTAGGCTCATTTGATACTGAAGATCAGATCAGATGGCTAGAATAATAAGAATTAGCAACAAGAAATTCTGGGAACGAACCAACCAAGAATCTATCACAGAGCAAATATGAAGAATGAGAAAGTGGAGATGGATTGAATTGGGCATACACTGAGAAGGCCGATTGGGGACATGACATGTCAGGCCATGCCATGCCAGGCTGTTGAAAGGAACCCAAAAGGGATAAGATGAGTTGTTTGTGTAAGGGTGACATGGAGGAGATCATGTGAGAAAGAAATGAGAGCTTGTGGGCAGTCGTGGTGTCAGGTCCAAAAGACTGGCAAGAAGAGAGTGGGATGGAGGCATGCTACTGAAGCAGTATGTTCCACTAGTAACTCAAGGGAAAAATTTTAAAATAATAATTATTTATTACATTCTGAGAATTCTGTACCATACCACATATCTTGTTTGGAAAAGGCTTCTATGATTGTAATTTTATTGTTAACTAAGCCAAGAGAAGACTTTCTTTCTCCTTTGTAAAGCCAAAATAGTATTTGTTCGACGATGCATTTAGAAAGTAGATGCTGAGCATAGTGGAAGTGTTTCACTTCAAAGGAGCAGTTTGACAATTAAGGAAGTAAATGGTTATGCTCAAAACCCCGGATAAAGGAGTTGTTGACCCAGGCTGTCATTCTAAGAAGTGGCAAAAAAAGAGAAAAACCGATTTTATCGACGAAGACAATTCTATAAACAAGAAGAATTATAGTGAAAAGAAAGACCACACTGGCAAAGAACAGGCATTCGATCTCTTTTAATGACCACTGATTGAAGGACCAGAATTAAAGTGATTGATAGTATGCGCTAATCGATCACTGAACAGCAACCTGTCTCATATTGTCTAGCCGTGAGTTCTAATCACATTCTGTCGACCATTTCTGCAATTTAGGCACTAAGCTAAGTGGATGCCAGTTGGTAAGAGACAATCGTCAAGATACCTTGGACCTAGGTTTTGTGTTCGTTGGCACTCGTCAGCGAACCACATCTGCGACATCAAGAGGACTGATATCCCGTCTGAGATTCGAACCAATATCACCAAGTATTGCGGTCAACGAGGTCAGTTTCCATACTCCATGCTAAGGAGTGACAGCAAGCACAAAACCTAGAACCAGGGTTTCTTCAGGATTGCCTCAAAGCAACTAACACCCACCAAAGTGATAGCAGGTAGGCCCAAATTTACTTCAAAACTCATGACTGCTAATATCCTTTTTGTACTGTTTTTCAACCGAAATTCTTTATGATGATTACGCCAAGTCAAAGTTGAATGAAAAATCACGGTGTACATTCGCCCTAATTTGGAAAACACTGTCAAACATTAGGACACTTTAATCAGATGGAGGCAGAGATTAAAAAAAGAATCATTGTTCAATGACCTAACAAATGTATGCTGTAGATTTGATGGAAACCCCACAGTGACTATAAGATGGAGTCTATTTCCAATGAAGGAAGAGAATGACAAGGAACAAAACTGTAGATACGAGATATTGGAGGATTACTAACTGATAGGGTGTGACTATAGGCAGTAAACTGCATTTGAAAAATCCTCTACAGAGCTCCACAAAATATAATCAGCTCAATTCAACAGCATCCATATGTTGTATGATGCTACATATCAAGTGATTCACAATAGAAAGCTCAGTGATGCGTTTGAAGTGGAGTGGAGCCAGAAGTAACACAGGGTTGCTGCCTACTATCATCAACGATCATCTTCCTGATTGTGATCTACTCGAATGGAATGGACTCCATTTGACTGTACTCTACTGGATGATACAAGAAACTTTTTGGAGTGAGAAGACGGTCAACCACTATTTGACGGATGGGAAGATGATAGAAGTTTTGGATTTTGCTTGTGATGATGATTGATGTCTAGTGTCTAATGTGGGCCAACGTCGAAGATGTACAGGCGAAAAGTAGCAAGTCGGCGGAGGTGGCGGGGCGGAGGGAAGGGGGGGAGTTAAGAGCGGGTGGAGGCCAGACGAGACAGCGAAGGAGTACGGGACTTCTTTCAGTTGGAAGTGGAGAAGAGAGGAGCGATGACGATATCCAGCCAACAACAACAAGAGCAACAATGCCAAGAAGCATTCATCAACATCGACAGGAGAAATGTGAAGGGAATTGTCACGCTAGCCTATCCACCTACCTACCTACCTACCTACCTACCTACCTACCTACCTACCTACCTACCTACCTACCTACCTACCTACCTACCTACCTACCTACCTACCTACCTACCTACCTACCTACCTACCTACCTACCTACCTACCTACCTACCTACCTACCTACCTACCTACCTACCTACCTACCTACCTACCTACCTACCTACCTACCTACCTACCTACCTACCTACCTACCTACCTACCTACCTACCTACCTACCTACCTACCTACCTACCTACCTACCTACCTACCTACCTACCTACCTACCTACCTACATACATACATACATACATACATACATACATACATACATACATACATACATACATACATGCATACGTAATTTCCTACCTACTTAACGAGGCAGCATCGTCTCAACTACACGTGGCACAGGCACACATGACAACCTAAACGCCAGAAAAGGAATCACAACGAGACAGACCTTCTTCAATAAGAAATTAAAGTAGAAATCTACTCCATCTCACTACACTCAGCATAAAGCAGGAACATGATCCGAATGCTCAACACTAATGTCAGTCAAGTCACTGCTTCTATATGATGCTTAAGAGAGTTAGAGGCGCGTTAAGAAAATCATTTGCAACATACATGATCAACAGCTGCCAACTACGCTCACTCACTTGATCGGTCGATCGATGCTGAGGATCAGATGAGATGAGATGAGATGAGAAGGTGAGAAAGAATAAGAATGAACGAGAAGGAACTCACTCTGGCTGGCTGGCTGGCTGACTGACTGGATGGCTGGCTGGCTGTCAGCGAACAAACCAACACACAACCAATCACCCAACAAATATGACGAAGAAGACATTTGAGAAGGATAGTATTATATTGCATTGGACATCGACTGAGAAATAAGACGGTTGTAGGAGATCAGGCGTCAGACTGGGGTATGCTGAGTCAGGTCGTCTATTGGGAGCACAATGGGAAATGATGTGTTGTGACTGTGAGGGTGACATGTAGGAGACTTTGTATGAGGAAGCAATAAAAGGTTATGGGAAGTGGTTGTGTCAGGTTAAGTAGATTGTGGAGAAGAGAGTGATTTGGCGGCCTGCTACTGAAGCTGTTTGTTCCACTCAGAACCCAAGAGACAAATAATAATAATCTATTATTCCCTGTAAACTCTGTCACACGAAGATGTTTATTACAGAATTGTACTGTACCACAGTGCTAAACATGTTATATGGTGATACAGTTCGTCAATCTTGACAATAACCAGTGAATAAAGCGAAGACCAACATGCGCTGTAACCTGATTTATATTTTCAAAAGTAGAAAGTCTTAAAACCAGATTAAGGGACATCTACGTTGCTGAGATCGATTCCGAATGATAATACCCAGAATCTCTAACCATTAACTTTGGTTGCCAATTGGACTCCAAATGATAAGTTTAATTTTTACTTACATGGCATAGACCAGTTATCGAAGATTTCATAGATCCATGCGATGTTGCAGTGTGATCACGTACAACATTTTTCCAGACAAAATATGCCTCGGCTAACGTTGCTTGACTGAAAAAATGATGACTATGTATGTCTGACAGATTAGTTGACTTCCCTCTTCGGCCTATAACTTCAATTCTGGAGTCTATGTTACTGACATGGTAGTTCCATGGAACACAGCTTTCACCAAGAAGACAACAGTAGGCGAATATCTGAATTAGTCTGAAATACTCGAACATTACTGATCATGTTTCACATTCTAATGTAAAGACATAGGCAACAGTATATTGGACTGTTATTATGCAGTTAGATGGTGGGAAAGCACCATAGATAGCGTAAGTTGGCGAAGCTTCAATGATTTCCAAACTGTATACCGAAGCTTCCAACATTCCTGCTCATTCTAAGTCACGTAATGAACTTTTGTTCGCTGACTAATGACTGTATCTAATTCAGTCCTACAGAAGGTCAGTCGCTGCCTTAATAACTCACTGTTAGTGTCAATGACTGCAATCCCTGACGGCGCAGGTTCGAATCTCAGCCGGGACATTAATTCCTTTGAGGTTTCAAGTATACCTTACTGAAGAGTGTCAACAAACGCGAAACCAAAGTCGAGTGGAGATTCGTGCTAATTGTCATGAACAATCTAATATCTACGCAAGTGTACCGTTATGGTAAGTCCCCTATTACAAATACCATAATGTAAAGTGATAGACAGAATTCGTTCAGTACTTAGAACTAGACAACAACAGACTGGTTGCTCTACAGTGATCAATCAATGTGTGAACTACAATATGTTACGTTTTCAAAATAATTTAATGTTTTGACATATGAAATAGTAGACAGCTGAGATGTTGACATATATCACTCAAACAACGGGTGATATTTCTCACAATCATATGATTATTTATATCACACAACTGATTAGAAATGATGCAATTGGTAGAAAGTACCATTTACACGAAATATAGTGTCTTTTCATACTATTTTTTCATTGGATATTTCATTCTCCCTGAAATGAAAACTTAACAACTGAAATCGTGTTCACTTACTATCGACAAAGAATTACACTTTTAATAACAATCAGTTCTGTTTATTTATTTATTTATTTATTTGAATAGTACGAAGAATTTAGTTGTAATGTAATTCAATTTCATTAAAACACTAGTAAATTACACAAGTGTATATTCTGATTAAAACAAGTGCACATATCTTTTTGGAATCACCATCATATGACCTTGAATTGTCCAATAGGAAATCAGATAATAATTACAACCAATAGAATTAACGTAACCGAAAAATAACCAATAGGTGAGGTTCATTTGAAATATTTGCAACTTCATTAACACTAATTACTCTTATCTACCATTTGAAGTGTTGGAAACCGCAAAAAAATATTCAAACTTGAAATATATTCTACAACACTATTATAATTGTGAATAAATAGTAAATATAACAATGAATAAACCTAAGAGAATAGTATGTATTCCTGTTGATGGTAGTGATCATTCAATGAGAGCATTGGAATGGTATATTAAAGAGGTACATCGACCCGGTGATGAAGTCATTTTTGTACATGTGATAGAAATGCCAAATTTACCATTAGTTAAACTTTCCTCCGGTTTAAGAGTACCTGTTGACAATTGGACTAAATCACTGCAAGAAAAGTAAGCGACTTGTTTTATTGAGTACATATCTAGTATAATATCTATACAGTGTTATTATTATATGATTATATACACAGTTAGATTATAAAATGAAACGAAACTTATCTATGCGATTATTTATTATTATTTGTCCCTTTGGTTCCGAGTGGAACAAACAGCTTCAGTAGCATGCCGCCAAATCACTCTCTTCTCCACAATCTACTTAACCTGACACAACCACTTCCCATAACCTTTCATTTCTTCCTCATACAAAATCTCCTACATGTCACCCTCACAGTCACAACTCATCATTTCCCATTGTGCTCCCACTAGGTGACCTGACTCAGCCTGCCCCAGTCTGACGCCTGATCTCCTCCAACCGTCTTATTTCTAAGTCGATGTCCAATACTATCCATCTCAACTGTCTTCTTCGTCATATTTGTTGGGTGATTGGTTGTGTGTTAGTTTGTTCGTTGACAGCAAGCCATCCAGCCAACCAGCCAGAGTGAGTTCCTTCTCGTTCATTCTTAGTCTTTCTCACCTTCTCATCTCATCTCATCTCATCTGATCCTCAGCATCGATCGACCGATCAAGTGAGTGAGCGTAGTTGGCAGCTGTTGATCATGTATGTGTGTAGTTTGTTGCAAATGATCTTCTTAAAGCCCTTCCAACTCTCTCAAGCATCATGTAGAAGCAGTGGCTTGACTGACATTAGTGTTGAGCATTCGGATCATGTTCCCACTTTATGCTGAGTGTAGTGGGGTGGAGTGGAGTGTAATGGGATGGAGTAGATTTCCACTCTAATTTCAGATTGAAGAAGGTCTGTCTCGTTGTGATTCCTTTTCTGGCGTTGAGGTTGTCATGTGTGCCTGTGCCACCTGTAGTTGAGACGATGCTGCCTCGTTAAGTAGGTAGGAAATTATGTAGGTAGGTAGGTAGGTTACACTGACAACTTCCCTTACATTTTTCCTGTCAATGGTGATTGATTCTTCTTCGTATTGTTACTGTTGTTGTGTTTGGTTGAGTATCTTCATCACCTCTGTCTCCTCTACGTTTACCTGGAAGAAGTTCCGTACTCTTTCGCCGCCTTGCCATTTCTACCGACTTCTTACCTTTCGACAGAATAGAACATATCAGGAAACTATGTGTGAAAGAAGAAGTTCTTGCCTTTCGCCTGTACATCTTCGACGTTGCGCTACATTAGACACTAGACATAAATCATCATCATGAACCAAATCCAAATCTCCTTCTAGCTGCTGTTGAATGATGTTGACGAATGTTTGTGTCACTGAAAGCGTAGTTTTGAATCGGCTGCCTGCCAAATTTATTGTCGGTTGACGTCTCGATCGAAGATATTTTCAAAGTTGATTAAATTGAGGCAAGGATTCAATTGACTGGCATTCTTTGCTGTGTTCCATGATGATACGTAGTGTAGCATTGCAATTTGATGGTGCATATGGTTTATTTTTATTGCTGTGAGCCAGCCTATTGCGGTGGTATTTGAGAATAAAGAGCATTTTTCAGTCTCTACAGGATGATACGCTATACGTTCTATCGATTCCTTTTTGCTTTTATTGAGATACTTTCTTACAGTTTTTGCAGTTATTGTAGAGTTTAGTCTCATTATTCGAGACAATAGGAACCAAAGGTTGTATAGCGTTAGTGATATACACGTTGATATAATTCACAATTACTTAGGTGTATACACATTTTTCGGTCGTCAAAGTTGTAAACATTCTCATTATTTCTTTTCCATCAGTCCAGTCTCTCTACTGTTACATACACACACACACGTATTTTTATTTGCCATAATATCACGGTTTTTCTAGCCTCTTCTTGTCTTTGATGCTGCTTGGAAGTGTTGAATTTAGAGAAACAAATAGGTTTCAATGTCTGGATCCATATTGATCTACATTCAAACTTTAATTTTTCTGTTGGTGAGACTAATTTAGAAGGATGGTTTTCCAGCAGACCGTTATTACTGACAATCTAGCTGCCTATAGATTTTCAAATAATAATTATATAATTCATAGTATAGGATGTATTTTTACTTGTGTAATACTGGCGTAGTATATTAGAACAAATAACAAAATAAACAAATATTTTGTGCATTATTCCTCAACGTTTCGATCTTGCCAGAAAGATCCTTTTCAAGAGTATGAATCTGAAATTAAGTTTTCAGTTTAATATTTAAGTGTTGGTACAGAAAGTGGTGACCTTTACAATCATCCAATTACATAGTGATATGGAGCAAAGATCAATGTAATACAGGTGAGTGAATAAGCAACTCGGTCAGAGAGGTTTTTCCATTGTGCGAGTAAGGTGGAACAAAAATAGGGTGGAAAAAATTTTTTTTAGTTCGTCTATGATGTGCACACCAAGTTGCAACGCTACACTATGCATCATCATAGAATAGAGTATAGAATGACAGTCAATTGGATCCTTACCTCAACTTCATCAACTTTGAAAATATCTTTAATTGAGAAGTCGACCAACAAGAAATAGTTATATAAACTGGATGTTCAAACTGGAGGTTTCTGAAGGTATATTAATTGTCTTCAGGTTGGAATTCATCCTTGATTGCAATCAGTTGGAAGAATATTGGAAAACTCAGAGCACTGGACAGTTGTTTTGTCTTGAACAGTGCGTACCCGTGACCCTACGAGGGATCGAACTCAGGACCTTCGGTTTCCACAGCCAGCACCTTATCGTTGAGCCAGTGAGTCGGAATCCAGTGGTTCATATTTGTTACTCCTGTCAGTTTACGAAGAAGCACGATTTTCATGCAATGCTGTCGTTGACTAACTATTCTCAATTCGACTTGCTTAGCTCAATAGGTCACTACTTATAATTGGAGCTTTGAGAATCCCTTCTCAAAGCTACTCATTAATGAGGTCCAGATAAATTTAATCTAGAGGTTTGTGGAGATTTATTAATTGACTTTAGGTTAGAATCCATCATGAACTGACATCGGTTGGAGGAATATGGAACGAAACAGCTGACGAGTTCTCTGAGGTTTCCAAAGTTTCTTCAGCTGATGTCAGTTCATCATGAATTTCAACCTGAAATCAACTGAATATGTTTTAAAATGCTATTTAAGTGTAATAAAATATCATTGTAGGGAATTTAAAAGTTTTTCTTAACTTGAAGACAATCAGATCTATATATTGTAAGGTAATTTATATGAAGTATGATCAAGTTTTGGTCGAACAGTATCGTAAATATTGAGCACCAAGTGAAACATTGACATTAAGTACAGTTTATACTTATGTAGGTCAAAGCGTATTTTCCTGAAGAAGCATTTTGTAACCTAGACATCATCATCGTCATCAAAATCAACATAGGACCAGATATTACTGGGTTTCTAGGTCCCAGTTGCCAAGTTACTACATCTTATGTATCAGCACATCAAGTACCAAGGCAATAAAGTGGAATATGAAGAAGTAAAGGAAAATCGACCAAAGGAAGTAGAAAATAGTAAAGGAGAGGAATGAGAAAACGGTGAGATTCGGTATAGCGTCGTTAAGATGAAGGTAATGTGTGTATACATCTGAGCCACTGATATCGATTCTGAGTCATATCTCCTAGAGTCTTCAACCAGTAGTTTCTCTTGTCCCACGGACATCAACCAACTAGTCTGCATCTCACTGCATAGCTCAAACTAACAGTCAATGACTTCATTTATTGCTGCCATTCTTTAGTATGGCCGCCCTGAACTGTTTTGAAGCCTGAACCTACTTCGGCCAACATTGTGTAGTAAGACAGATGGTAGCTAGACATAATGTAACATATGTCCCAGCCATATCATTCGATGAAGGTTCACAATCACACCAACTGTCTTACCTTCCCTGCTTAAAACTCCACACATGACTTGTGTATTACTCACGTAGTGACACCATGACACACAAAGTATACTACGAAGTTAGAGGTGGTCAAGCATCTAAAACTTTTCATGTGTTCTTCTTTTAACGGCCATGTTTCACGGACATACAAAAATATAAACTATATCTTTGTTATCAGATCTACATAGTCTATATGAAAAATAGTGTTACCCAAAGTTGAGATTTATGAATCTTGAGGAAGTTGTGGGAATTTGGAAATACTTCAAGTCGTTATTCATCGTAGACTGACATCATTTGGAGGAATAAAGGAAACCTTGGAGCACTGGACACCTGTTTCGTCCTAATATGGGGGACTCTTCAACAGTGCGCACCCACCACCCCGCCGGAAATCTAACCTGCAACCTACAGGTTCCGTGAGTGCGCAGTGCTGGGGAGTCCCTTACTAGGATGAAACAGCTGTCCAGTGCTCCTAGGTCACCTTTGTTCCTCCAACTGATATCAGTTTACGATGAATAACAACTTTAAATATTTATCAATCTAACAATTTTCTCAATGGTTTCAATGTAAACTTTATTGCTCCAGACATATATTAAACTTGTCCTAGTTTGAAATAAACGTCTTCTGACTAGCCTAGTGATTGATTCATTTCATCTCTAGTTTATAAAAGTCATCGGATTCGTTGTACACTAAACTTTTTGCAGGTAGATAAAACACATTATATCAACATAGAAACTTGCACAGAAGTGTGATTCTTCACAAGCGGATAGAAAAAGAATGATATAAAAGAGACAAAAGTGTATAGGAAAAGAAACAATTTGAAGATAAAGGATATTTTTAATATTAAATCTTTGAAATACACCAAAGAGTGAATGAATCTAAGCAACTGTGACAGATTTTTAGCCAAGTTTCAAAAAGTTTTCAGTCGTTGACTCCTACTGTCTTAGTGAACCTAGCCAAGTAGTCTATATTCAGCTACATGGCTCAGACAAATAGTCAGCAACTTCTTAGGCAGATATCACTTCTTAGTTTAGCCACTCCGAGGCTTTTTTTCAACTTCAGCTAATATTGCTTTCACATATTTACAGTGATTTGACATACCCTGCATTATGTAAATATGGACGTTTGTACAATAATCTTCAGATTCCACCGTTAGTTCTCACTCATTTCCTCCATAACTGA